AGCAGCGGGCAGAGCGGACCAAACTATCCACACGCGACAAACTAAACCTGCTTGCCTCATAAAGCTTATTAATACGGTAGTAACTACCTAGACCTATCACGGGTAAAAAAAAAAAAAGATGTCTGATTTTTTGAGGAAAGGGTGAAAACTTTGAGGAAATAACTCCCTTAGTTTGGGAAAAACTCCTCAGATTTTGAGGATATCTCGCCACAACTTAAGTTGTGGACCGACTTCCTCATATCTAAGGTGTAAATTTTCCTCAAATTATTGGAGTTCCTCTAACGTAAGTTCCTCAAACAAATCTGACATTGTTTTTAACGCACCAAAGACCGGTCACCAAACTATGTTCTCAAATTCGAGGTCGTTTCTAGAGAAGGAGGCGATAAAACGGCAAGTGTGGAAATACTTGAATCCGTTCGTACGCGGATCGTTTAGTTTGTCTGGCACCCCGCTTAGAAGGTATCTAATTAATTCTTCTTTTATGAAAATATCAAAACGACGGCCAACTTTTATCAACGTATCAAATCTTATCAATCCTATCCAAACGGGAAACTTTATCCCTTCGTTTAGGGCGAGAGAGCCACTGGCGACTGTCTACAAATTATAAGAGAACAATTTTTATCAGTTCATTTCTATATATTTACAAAAACAACAACATACGTATATGCGTTAATATTACTTTAGTTTTCAGTAAATGTTTCTCCAGCTCCGTTTTGCGGTAATGAGCGGCGTGAAGCTCGTGCTCTCCATTACCGAATCAGCTGGCAGCCGGCCCGTTTGCAGGGAGTCAAAGAGCTGCGCCTTATTTTACCCAGAGATTAAAGCGTATACAGTTGTTGGCCTGGGGCCATGGAAACAAAACGGAAGGGGCGCGGTGCAGAGCAGCAGGGCTGGCTGGGCGCGCGGGGGACTTGGCCGTAGTCGCGAATGTAAACCAATGAAACAGGTCAGCAAACCTCAAAGCATCCCGGCTGCTGCCCGCTCCAGCCCCGCCCCGCCCCTCCCAGTCCAGGCAGGCGCTCCCCGATGGTCCTTTCCCTCGCTTCTTTCTTCCCTCATCCCCCACCCCCCCCCGTCTAATTGGCAGCAGTCTGTGGTCTGTGGGGCGCAGCCATGCAGCGGGGGGTCCTCCAAACTCGGGGGAAATGTTTAGCCAGGCTGCAACAGCACCCTCTGTGCGAGAGCGGCGGCTAAGCTAGACTACTCGACTGAGTCCAGACTCGCGCGC